TTAAAAACAAATGCCTGTCGAGTAGTATTACAGAATTACAAAAATATTACCCATTTGTTGATATAATAAAAAGCACAACAGCTTCAAGCGTCATAAGTAAACTAGAAAGATTATTTGCTATATTTGGTTATCCTAACAAAATTAGAAGTGACAACGGACCACCGTTTCAAAGCGAAGAATTAAAACTATACTTTAAAAATGTTGACATAAAGCACATTAAAATAACGCCTCAATATCCGCAAGCGAACGGTATCGCAGAAAAATTTATGCAAGTTATAGGAAAAACAATTAAAACAACTCATTTTATGGGGAAAAATTGGATAAAGGAACTTCAAAGCATGCTTCGAAATTATAGATGCTACAACTGGCAAACCACCAGCTACGTTATTATTCAATAGAAATATCAAAAATAAGTTTCCTTCAATAATAATTGAAAAATCACCCTATGATAAAGAAGTGAGAGAACGTCAAGATCAAAAGTATAAGAAAGTACAAGAATATTTTGATATGAAACATCATGCAAAGAAGAGAGATGACATTAAAGTAGGAGATCAGGTTCTTGTTAAACGCTATAAACCGGGAGGAAAATTAGACTCGAAATATATAGTTAAAGAAAGAAAACAAAATTTAATCATTGTAGTTGATTAAAAAGGAAACGAGTTGGCGCGTAATATACAATTTATAAAAAAACTCTTAAAACCTGAAGCCGAAAGTATACAACGTGTAACACCAGTAAATGATATCGAAAGAAAAATAGTTAAAAGAAAATCATATCCAAAGCGAATTAATAGACCTATAAAGTTTTACTATTAAAAATTTCTAAACACGATTTATTTATTTGTGTAATAATAGAAACTTTCCCAAACAGGGGAACTGTTTGGGATTGAGAGTTAGTAACGAAATACATAACATTATGATTGATAAGAGTGCGTTCATGTGGAATGCATTAGAACTCGTGCGTTAGTTAGAAAGATATTGTAGTGAGTTATGTTTGTTTATATAATACTAGTTGTAAATATGTATGTTCTTATTATAAATCTTAAATACAAATAAAATAAGAGTTAGTAGATATATATTTAAAATAGTGAACACAACAATACTGACGAATGAAATTGACTATTATACGTAACTATACGTATATGAACTTGACTATTACACTAAAGTACTAAAAAATTAAAAAAGAAAGTTACTTATAAATGAAAACTCGTGATAAGGTCATGACGATCTTTTTGAAGTACTGCCCGAATAATATTATAAACCTTAGTGCAAATAATATTGTGCGGCAAATAAAAAATAATAAAAATATGCGGACCTTTTTTTTTTTTAGAAACTCAAAATATAAAATATTCATGGAATGATTTATTATAAGAACCTTAACTAGTAGTAATTATTGGATAAGCGTGAGTTATATAAATATTTTATATCAAAATAAGGGTTTTTGGGCCAAAGATTTAAAATAACTGAATTATTTTGCACTTAACGAACACCAACACAACGCGCATGTACGCATTAAAGGTCATTTTAGAGAATTTAAAAAACTGTAATCACTATTTATATTTTAAAATTTAGGTTTTATGAACCTAAATTTTAAAGTATAAATAGTGGTTTTGGACTATTATACTGACGGTTCCATCTCAACAGGTGCAATGATTTTTACAAATTCAACTGAAAGAGATATAAGTAAAATTTGGTTTAAAACTACTGTCAATCTTAGTTATAAAAAATGACTTCAGACTAACCAAATTTTTGACTGTATATTTCAAATATATTATTTTAAACGTTAAAAAAATGAATTAATTACCAGCTTCTTTAATTGAATAATTCTTCTATTGATTGTTTATCCAAACACACTATGTCCTCTGTTGATCAATGTTACTTTTGTGGGTTTTGGATTACATTTTCTTAAATGCATCAACAATGTTTTTTACTTCAGGGATGAGACACTCAGTGTGATTCGACATCTTAGACCCTCATAAATTTCATCACTCAGTTATGAGATGACTGCTAGCATATTTTCTAAATTGTTGTTTGTACAGTTTTTGTGGACATTAGACGGGAGATCTGCAATCTCTATAATTGTCTTTTCAAAGCGTTAAGCAATATTTTAAGATGTATGTCTACCATATGCACTTCCACAATACATCAGCAGCTTCTTCAGGGTCGAGTTTTTTAAGATATAGAAAAACGTTAGGTTAAGATAAGGGATTAATGAATAACTTATTCTCTTGGTTCACTTATCACTTGTTTAGGTACTTTTGGATCAAAGTTCCAAGTGAATAAAAAAATTTCGTTTAAATATAAGTAGCCTCCTCGTCTGTAGTGGCCTTCTCGGCTTTGAGGAGATGAAGTAAAATAAAAAAAAAATATATATATATATATATATAGTTTGAATAACCTATATGTATTTTTGATGTTATTCCACAATTCTTTTTTATTACTAATAGGTCATTCAATGTGATGTTGTCGCCTTTTATGGTAAAGTATTAACAATTAAATTTTCAATTTATTAACAATAATAACAATTTTAGAAAATTTAATTGTAAAAATTAACAAATTCCATTATTAATGTAAAATTCAAATTTTCTAAAATTAATCTACTTTGATGATCACAAATCAGTTGTAGATCTGCTACAATCTTGTTGGTTACTTCCTCCTTTAGCAATCAATAAAAAAGAAGCTTTAATCTAACCATAGTTCTAGCTGACTTCACATGGAGATTTGGATCCAAATTTTTATAAAATCTTAAAATGTTGTATCATTGATATGATTGAAGGAAAGATTACTACCTGCTAAATACTTCATCACAGCCAAATTAAATTTCAGCTTGACTTGTGACCTGACATGATGTTTAAAAATCTATTGGAAGAATGGTAATCTGGTTGTGCCAATTGAAAACCTTTCATCGCTTTTGGAAGACTTCTTCAAAAGTTTTATTTCAGTTTTCTTTTGTGTGGATAAACGGCTTCTAAATAGAATGATAATAAATTATATCAAATTTGATTAAGTTTAAAATAGCACCGTAAAAATTTTATTTATTTAAACAAATTATTTTAAAAAACCGCAATTTCATTTGAAAATCAAATTTATTTGAATTAAAATTGAATAAAAAGCAACAACATCAGTTTCAAAAATAGAGAAAATTGAGTCTGAGAGAATCTTTTCTTATCAGAGATTCTTTTCTCCATTTGGCTGTAAAGTTTATCTAGCTAATTTTTATTTTTATTAAAGTTTATCTAGCTAATCACCCAGTTATTTTGATTTTTTGTTGCCTCAAATAAAATAACTGATCTGCCCTCATCTGGATAAAAGGATCTGATATGAATCTCAAATATATTTTGTATAAAAAAAGAGACCTTTTTTCTTTGGCGCATCTTAACCGTTTTCGTTCATGTCCAAATTTAATAAAGTTCAAAACTTTAAGTTTAATTTCAGATTTTGTCAAATTTGTATCCGATTAAATAGAGTTCGAATCTAAAAACCGAATTCAAATTTAAATTTTAATTCGAATTTTAATTTAATCAAATTTTTGCAATTTGTCTGTGCTTAATTTTTACACAAACATGCGAAACTAAAATTCATTTCAAAAAAAGTGGAGTTTTAGTTTGTTCAATTTTAGTTTGTTTAAACTAAAATTGAACGTAGAGCATCGTAAAACTTTTAATTGGTTAGTTCATATGTTCATAACTTTGCATTTAAAGTTACATTTTGAAATAATAAATAATAAAAAAGCTTTTGTTTTTAAAACTAAAAACAAAGTATTTTTTCTTTACAAACGACAAGGTAGTTTAACATAATCCTTATTAAAGATTTGAAAATTGATTACAAATAAGGTTCATATAATAGTAAAGATACCTTACATTTTCATAATTTTATTATCATATATTTTTTTTAATTTTACATATTTTATGTTATATTGGATTACCTCCTAAACTTAATAGTTGGTTTTATTTGCCAATAGAAATCTAAATTAAATAAATTGTAAATCAATTTAGAGCTTCAGTTTCTTCTTGTCTTTTCGAACCTTTTATAGATATTTTTGTTAAACGAATAACAAATATGTAGATCTGGGCAACTACTTTAAGTTGTCTTCTAACCAGTTTATATCTTGATTATTAAATGTTTGCTGCAACAACAATGAATTATTGCAAAGCATAATAGTGTGGTGTATCGCTATAAACATCCAAAACCTTTTTATTATCTTTTGAGATAGCTAAAACAACACCATTTAAAGAAGAATATCCTCTCTTCTGCCATGTTCCATCTAAGCTAATATTACAATCAACTGGAAGTTGATGTATTGAAGCACTAGTATTTGCAGAAGCTCTAATCACATCTGCAGCTTTTTTTATACATTTAAATGAAGCAGACTCATAAAATTATGTAAAAGATTATAAAAGTTATTATATGAATTAAAAGTCATTGGAGGTGGTATTGGAGCTTCATGTCTACAACCAATCTCGCCAAAACTCACTGCAGCTCGTATATTGACTTCTTGAATGTGTTTACTTTTTATTTCACGAGTGAAAATTATAACTCACAAGATATACATTTCAGTTTAAGATTATGTGAAAGTCCCATTTTTTTAAATCTGTTCAAGACTAGCAGTGACCTTTTCATCACAGTCTAGGCGTCTAGTTAAAAGTTGAAGACAACTTAGCAATGCTCCAAAGTAAATTAAGAAGCTTATTTTTGTTTACATTCAATTTTTGAAAAATACCGGTTGCGTTGTTCAGTATGAATCAATAAAAATATAATACTACGCGCAAAAATAGAATCAGTTAAGGTCACAATATTTTAAGATCGTGCGACAATTGTTGTTAGATAATACTTTTATATCCATTATAAATATATTGTATACCCAACCTATTTATCGACAGAGGGTTTAGGCAGGACAAATGAAATGCAAATGTATTTTCAATAGTCTTGAATTTTTCTTTTTGACTTAGGCCATGAATTTTGGGTTTGTTTGCGGACCTGAAGGACAGTGTCGGAGCAACAATCTACCGTATTTTATTGATATTTGTTTTTATGTGACTATTTGAAATGAGTCAGTTGAGAATTTATGGTTATTTGCATAAACTACAAAGTGCTTGAAATAAAGTCTTGAAATATGTTTATTGGGAATCGGATTCATCGAATGTTATTAATTCTTATAGTTACTTTGTTTGTAATACTTGGTATTATTTATTTATTTTCAGTGTCTGACTACAAATACAACTCTGTTATTGTAAAACCTATTGGTACGCCTAATGTCAATTTTTTTAAGTCTAAAGCACTACTTATTCCAAAACTAATTAGTTCTCCAATAATAAATGATACAAAAGTTGAGTTATTGATTTTAATCAATTCATCACCATACAACCGCGGAAGACGAAATGCAATTCGTAATTCATGGGGAGCTTGTGAAAAACTCCATTTGTTGTATGCTGAATCCAAGTTAATACCAAAAGAAATATCATGCATTAGAGTTTTCATGGTTGGGAAAATGATTTCAAATAAAACATCTTTGATTCTCGAAGCTAAAACTTATAATGATATGATTATTGTAGATCATAAAGATCAATACAACACAATCACTTATAAATTACTTGCTTCTTTTAGGTGGGCTCATAAAATTTTTCCAAATTATGTACTTAAATCTGACGATGATGTGTTTGTACACTTGCCACGTCTTATTTTACAAGTTCTTTCACATACTAAAAAACGCTTTTATGGAGGGGTTCCTTATCATAATGGCAAAGTTATGAGAAATAAAAATCACAAACATTTCGTATCTTATGAGGATTTCAATGAACCTAGATATCCTTCTTTTTGTCGTGGAGACTTGTATCTTTTTTCTGGCGATCTTTTACCAGAGATACTAAACGCTTCTGAAAAAATACCTATATTTGGTGTTGATGATGCTTTTGTTGGAATCCTTATGAGAAATATAGGTGTTGTTCCACAGCATATAGAAAGATTTATTTATGTAGAGCTGAAAGGTATTCTTGATTACATATCTGACTGTTCTCTAAAACTATTAATTGGTTTTGGAGATGGTTTAACTGAATATCAAATAGTTGATATTCACAATCGTATAAATGTTATAGACTCTATTAGTATGTCTTGTTTTAAGCTTCAAAAAGAACTGTTTTTTATATTGTTAGTTTTAATTATGTTACTCATATTTTATGCGTTTTGTTTTGTTAAATGCTTTACATAATAACTCTGTAGAACTTTATTTAAATAAAATCATTTATTGAAGTGATTAACAAGTTTTACTTTTGGAAAAGCTTTTTAATATTAGCTAGTAATCAGTCTACTGAACTAATAATTTAAGGCTTTCTTATTTAGGGCTGTAGCTAGGTACACTGTTTTGCCTTTTACAGAACCAAAAATTATTTTAAAATTATACACCATGTGTTTTAATTTCTTTAAAGTATTGTTGAAAAATACCTGCCAAGTTTCATTGAAAAATATTATGTATCAGATATTATGTATCTGCTACATAAGATAGCCTTTTTGTAATAACTTAGTAAGGTGTTCCATAAAAATAGTTTTTATAAAACAGTCTACTCTCTCCTGCTAAATATGTTCTATATAATAAAATAATGCATGATTTTAAAATTTTTAAAATAATATTCGTTTTTAGGGGTCCCTAAAACTTGTAGCAATTTAATAAGTTTCTAATATTAAATAAAGGTGGGTCTAATAATAATAATAAATAAAGTTGTGTCTCAAGTAAAGCAAAGTTATACAAAAGTTTCAAAGATAATTATCATTTTATAAAAAAAATATTATTTTAAATTTTACTTCATAAGAAATTATATTTTATAACTAAAAATATGAGAAGTCCTATTTAGCAAAGTTTTTTAAATTGGTTTTTTCAAAATATTTTTTTCATTATTTTACTTTTTGTGTGTGTGTGTTTTTTTAGATGGTGAAACCACCTAAAAATAATCATTACAATGACATACAAAAAAAAAAAAAACATTCAAGTTTTTATTAGTATTTCTAGAAATAAATTGAATTAAACCAAAAATTAATCAAAATATAAGTGAAAGAAAGTGTGTGTATGTTTCTTCTTATTTATATATTATATATATGTAATTAAATCTGCATATTGGTAATTATAGACAAATAAAAAGTTTTTTAAAATGAAAATACAAGTATATTAAGATTAATATCTTAATAAAATATTTTTTATTATAGTTGGACTTATAAAAAAAAAAAAAAAAATTATTACTCAATTTAACAAGGGAGTTTTAATTTTTATTTAAAATTCCCGTAGTTAGCCTTGTCTATAGTAGGTTTCAAAATTAAAAAAAAATTGATTTCTTATTGTTAGATCATCATTAGAGAAGATCAGCTTTAGAGAAGATAAGTCAGTATTCTTGTTTGTAGTTATTTCTTTCATTATTTTACTATTTAGAAATTTGTAGGTTGCGGGTGGAAGACATTGTTCAATCCATAAAAGTAAATACTTTCCTAAATTAGTACACAAAAAAACAACTTTCTAGACCATAGCCAGGTTAGCAACTCTAAAAAAAAAATTTTATGACCTGCCCTAATATATATATATATATATATATATATATATATATATATATATATATATATATATATATATATATATATATATATATATATATATATATATATATATATATATATATATATATTAGGGTGGTTCAAAAAACAACTTTTTTATAAGTAGTCTCCTGCTCTTAACTAAATGTGTTCTGTATGATACAAAAACATTAGGTTTAAAATTTTTTTGAATAAAAAATATTTTTAGGGTTGCCTCAAGACCCTTAAATATTTGACAATAATGTTTTGAAAAAATAAGTTTTATAAAAGTATGTCAACCTGGTACTCAAAAGAAGCGAAATTATATAAAAACTTCAAAAATAATGATCAATTTACATAAAAAATTTTTTTTATATATAAATGCCTAAAACTATTGTTTTTAAGGTAATAATAAAAAAAGTCAATATTTTCAAGTTTTTTTTAAATAATTTATTAAAACATGCATATGTATATATATATATATATATATATATATATATATATATATATATATATATATATATATATATATATATATATATATATATATATATATATATATATACACTCTTGGTGTCAAATAAACCAAACCAGAATAAGTTTTTCTAGTCTGGTTTATTTGCATTCAAATAAAAACTACAGTTTATGGATAAAAAATTTCAGCGATCATTCAAAGGTATATATGTTTAAATAACTGCAAAAATGCAAATAGAAAGTGCTTTTATTTCTTTTTGAGTTAAACTGTTTCAATCAATATTAATTTGTTTTTTTTTAATTTTGTTTTTATTTACTGCTTTATTTATCAATTATTGCAGGGTAGTGTAGGTACATCGACTAACTGTTAGGAAGAACATGTATTTAGTATTTATCGCTCATGGCTACAGGTGCTACTACAGTTCTGCCCTATAAGAAAAAAAACAATTTCTGCAAAATATCCATTTTGCACAACTACTGTTTTCTTAAGAAGTTTGGCTGTATTTCCTGAAGATACTGTGAAATCAAAATATCTAAAACAGGTACTTAAAGATCACATACGGTGTCACACTAGGTCAAAAAAATAATGATTAGTATTACTCAATAAAATAAAAAATTTTGAAAGTTGAGTTACTGTGTTCTTTTTTGTCAGGGCAGAGTTAAGGTGGCATTTTTTTGTTGTTGTCTTCTCTCAACCCTTTAATGATGAACAAAACCTCAACATGGGAAACAACATGGTTGAGTTTGGTCCTTCCAGGAGTTTGGTGGAGATTTAATATGCATTGTCAATAATGCATTATTTAAATAAAAAGAAAAGAGCTTGTAGTGTAACCAAGTTGAAAATTTTAAACTTGTTTAAGTTTGAGATTGAAATTGCAGAGAATAAGAAAATTCTTTTTATTTTAAAACAGGTTATATTACTTGAGGCATTGAACTTTTTATCTTCATGTAAACAGAACACAGTGGGCCAAACACCTACTTTCACGGACATTGGTTCATAACTTTTAAATGGAAAGTACTATGAGGTTGATTAAGGACTTTTTAGAAAGGATTTTTATGTATAAATTTTGAAAAAACTAAAAAATAACTTTGCTGCAGGGTATTTAGGTCATAATTTAAAAAAACCAAATATTAAAGTTTCATAAAATTTGCTATATTATAACAAAAAAAAATGGTAAAAAAGTATGTATGTATATTTTGTAATACAAAGATAACATAGGTACATCAATGACAAAAACAATAAAAGTTATCAAAAGAAATACTAAAATACATAATTTATCCATATGGAGTCGGCAAAAATATTACCGACCTCGTTTTTTTTTTGCCGACCTGATGCCGACCTAAAAGATTGAGGTCGGCAAATTATTGCTGACCTCATTATTCCTAATTCCGAGGGTTGACATTTAGTTGATGGTGTCTGTTAAATTGACAATTTAGGAATTTTTTTCTTGAGAGTCAAGTATGTATCAATCTTAATATTTTGTTATTACCTTTTAACCCTGAATTATAAAGATTTCCCAAACCACTTTCCCCATTATTATAAGTTAGCTCCCAAGAATGACGAATCCGCAGTCCAGATAAATTTATTTTTGTAGCAGGCGGTAACTTGTTAAACAGGAATAAATAAAAATCTGTACAATAGCTTTATATTTATCCACATGAATTTTTCTTTTTGAGAAATTTATGTGGATCAAAAAAATTTACGGGATTTAAAGTTTGAATTAGTGCTCTCTACTGAGAGTACGAATTTGAACTTACAAAATATTGCATGATATTGATAAGGCAATTGTGCAATAATTAGACCCCTGTTTGATTTTATGTGCAATAGTCCTTGAGCTATATAACCTGTTGTTGTTGTTCCTCTTTTTCCAATTGTATCAGGGTAGTCCTATTTTATACCTGTTTATTTTAATATCTCTATTTGTAATGAAGTCTCTGCTTGCTTCAGAAATCTATTTGAAGCACTGAAAGAGGACTCAGACCAATCAAAAACACGAGCTTTCATATGTACAACAGTCCTCATGAAATGGTCAGATGTACCCTGTAAAGCATGAAGAACCTATAAAAATATCAGTAGTTTTAAATGTCAAGCATGTTCACACATTAAAAGTATAAAATAATATGAACACTATTACAAGATACCAATTTACTTGTATTGATTTTACATCACAGACTGGAATTAGTTTGAAGGTTTGTCTAGCCCTTATGATATAATTGGGTTTTTTTTAAGAAAAGAACTGTCTTCTTGTTCAAGTTTTGAGTATGTACACAGATCACAATATGCACCTCCAAATCCTAAAGAAAGATTTGCTGCTTTCATATCCATCATATATGACTAAACTATCAACTTAACATTAAATTGTTTTCCCTCTTTATACATAAAGAAACATTTATTTTTTATCTCTTTATGTCAGAATTAAAGACAGAAAACCATTGAAGAGTTTCAATTCAAATTTTTAAAAGAGTGAAAATAGACAGAACATCGTCAGTATGATATTGCTATTCTTAACATTATCTTTTTAATTAAATATTGCATGGCTTTCATTACCATCAAATCCAAACTTTATTTTCAATAGCATATTTTCAATGTTTATATCTAAAAAAATGTTCTTCAATATCCTTTGCATCGTCAGTTTAATAGCTTGAGCAGGGTAGCCATGCCTCCTAATAAATCCTAAAATATCTTAATATTTAAAAAACTTCCAAAAAACACCTAAAATTTCCTAAAATATACTTCAATTTCGAAAATACATTCTAAAGTCTTCTTATTTAAACTTGTTTTTTGAACTTTAAGTTTTTTTTCGAACATTCAACTCAAGCTTTCAAATTTTTTATTAAAATTTTTTAATATTTAAATTCATAAAAAAAATTTTTTTTTAATCCTTCTAAATAATCCTAATTTTTTTATTTGTTTTTCAAGTTTACTGGTAAAATCTAAAAAATTCTTTGAAAATTTTATAACTCAAAAAAAGTATGGCTACCCTGTTGAAATAGACTGAAATAAACACCAGTATAAGGTTCAGAATAATTTATTATTACTTAAGATTGGTGTTACTTAAGATTTTTTTCTTCTGATATGTTTCCAACAACATATTAAAACTAGCAGTTAAAAGGTTTTTTTTTTTTTTTTGGTTTGTATATGAATGCCTACCAAGAGCAATCTGTTTAAATTGATGTTGTTTCTATTGGAACCTTATTGAAAGAGTTATTCTTTAACATATTTTTCAAGCAAGGTTTCCTTACCAGCCTTGATTTGTATGCCATTATAGCCCATTTTTTCAAGCTTTTTACTTCAGATGCAGATCTTTGCCAGCTACTGGAAATAATGGAGCTTAGCATCAAGCAACACCTTTTTACATTGATTTTTTGTAATAATTAAAAGGTGTTTGTTCTTACAAGAGTTATGAAAATTATGAAAAAAATAATTACAATTGGATATAGCAGTAGAAGGTGAAAACCATGGAGTTGAATGTGGCTTGCACTAGAAGGTGAAAACCATGGAGTAGAATGAGGCTTGACTAGGAATGACGAAAAAGAATAAAAGTTTTTATTCCTCCCTGGATCCAGGAGGTTATGTAGGAGGTGCATTTATCAGCAGAGAGAGAAAAGACATTAGCCCAAAGACCATTAAGAAAAAAATTGTAAAAAGAATCCCAGTCAGCTTTAGGGTAATAGTAGTGCGATGATGAGTCTGAAGAAAGATTATTACGTGGTCAAAACCACCTAAAGAAAAATAAGAGGAATCTGAACACAAGCTAGGGTCAGAGACAAGACGCAAATCAAAGAGTGAAGGCAAGTGATCAGGGTTTTCTGAAAAATAAGTCACAAAATTAACTGAGTAAGAGAATAAGAAATGCATAAATTATGTGCCAGCAAGATCAGTGGTGTTAGAGCCAAGCCATTCAGTGTCACCAGTATTAAAGTTTCCAAATAATGGCATTATTTTGTGAAAACTTCAGAGTTTTAAAAAGGCAAACAATAAATAAGTACTCATGATTTTTTTATTTTTTTAATAATAAACACTCTTTCATTGATGCATATACAAAATTTTAATATACTTCTGTTTACATGAAAATAAAAAGTTATATGCTTTTAGCATAATAAGAACTCGCTTGTAAAAACTAGATTAAAAGTTGATCTTATGGTGGATAAATATTATAGAAAAATTTGTTTGATTAAAGTGCCGCATTCAAAAGTTATAAGCCATCAAAGTGAACTGGTTCAAGAGTTTCAGAAAATATTTTTTTTTTTTAAATTTTGTATACGCATCAATCTTGTATAATTAAAAATAAGTTC